CCTGATGGTAATGTATAAGAAATAATATACATATACGTCATGTCATTTTATTAATCATATTAATTTTATTATTTTTTTATAGCTCTTTTAGGGGATAATGCCATTATTGAAATAAAATGCCTTCATAGTGTTCACAAATCAAAAAAAAAACACTTAGGCAAGCAGTAGAAAAAAATCTACAATGTGCTTGGAAATAAAAAATAATATGCTGTCGTTAAAGCGAAATCATAACTACTATTACCAAGTGAGAATTTGAAATCATTTGCCTGAATATTTTTTCATCTTTCAATATTTTTATATTTGCACGAAAATAAAATTATTTAAATGTGTTTTTAGCGTTAAATAAAAATAATAGTAGCATTTTTTTTTTCAATTCATAATTTTTTTTTTTTAGATTCAAGGACAGCTCAATATTTGTAGAAAAGATATGTGTTTTTTTATAGTTTACATAAACGACGAACACGAACAACCCCTACATATAGAAGTCATTCTAAGAGACCAACATTTTTGGCAGAATAATGTTTTACCCAAATTACTAAATTTTTATAATCAGTATGTAATGCCAGAGATTGTGTACAGGAATATTCCAAAACGACTGAAAGCCAGAGAGGCCATTTGAAAAGAATATTTTGTTATTTATTTACATACCTATTTATTGAATTAAATAAAGCTTTTACTGGATACTTAGAAATTTTTCATTTTATCCTTCCTATTAAAAAACATTTTTGAAGAGTAAATGAAAGAGTCATGAGTGTTATTTTAACTGATTTTTTTTTTGAAACCATGAACTGGAACAAAAAGATATCGGTGTCACTAATAGCCTAATAAATATATTATTACATTACTGGCCTTCAAAGTAGCATCACTTTATTGCATTGATAAATATTTCTCTCATGATAGTTAACATATTGAATAACCAACTCATGCCCATTTTGCCGAAATCACACTTTATTTACAAAAAAAACTCAGCATACATTAAAAAAATTACATCTTTAATACAAACTTTTGTTTTTCCTCGTATAAAGATATTTATTTTAAATATTGGTTAATTTAGATTTTAATTTTAGACAAAGCACCAAATTTTATTAAAAATTCGTCTTAATAAGAAAACGTTAAAAAATGAGTCTCCCTGTATATATAATTTATATTTGTGTAAATTGTAAATAACCATAATAATATAGTTTTGTCTAAATTCAAGACAATTTTAAAATATGGCAACACGGCGCCGAAGCTTTCGCTACTTTTGCTTCATCGGACATCTATAATTTAGGTCCTGAACTAAAAAACAACATGGACGTAGTGAAATTATTAATTTTAGATGAAATCGTATTTTGTACAGAACTTAAAAAGTACGCAACATTGATTATTAAAATTTGGCAAGAATATTCAGAAAAATATGTAGAATGCTATAAAGTTTTTTGAACTACATCTGTGACTATCACTTTTTTATATTTTTTAATAGTATTTAATAAATAGCAGGACAAATGAAAATGTCTCATTTCAATCATTAAACGTTTTTCTATAATCTGCCAAAGTTTCATTAAAATCCATCCAGTGAAAAATAAGTTCTGTAAAAAATCGTAAACCTATGTTTTGACCACGTAAAATACACTGAAATGGCGCCCTTAACAAATCGTAGACTTTTTGAGCGATGAAAACCTTTTATATACCCAATTTTACATAAATATTTAGAAATTTCAAATTGTACAACATTTCTGTCTTTTTTCAAAAGTGCGTACAACAGTACAACCGCATAACTGATTGTACAACTTTTTGTACAATTGTACAACCAGGAACAACACTGCCTTAGGTTAGGACCATGGAGGAAGGATAGGACCCAGTGTAAACTCACTGATTGTTTCTCACGGTTTATTTAGAGATAATTAATATCCTCCTAAGAATTTTAATCCTCGAGGCCTTTTCCACATTGACGTATGACATTTCTGATGAGAATCTTGAGAGAAATGAGTACTCACACGGTTTGAAAATAGGTCCCCTGGGGGCCAGTGTGAACTCACTGATTGTTTCTCACGGTTTATTTAGAGATAATTAATATCCTCATAAGAATTTTAATCCTCGAGGCCTTTAAAAACACCGTTTCCACATTGACGTATGACATTTCTGATGAGAATCTTGAGAGAAATGAGTGCTCCCATCAGGGTTGCCAACTTTTCAAATTCCATTTACCGTACCGCGCAATTCAAATTACCGTACATGGCTTCCCAATATCGTACACTTTTATTTTGTAGAAAAACTATGTATAAATATCGTTTTGTTCGAGCTTCTAAATAAAAAGTCCTCGGCATGTTTTAATCAACCTCTGGTCATTCTACTTAGCTTCTAAAAAAAAATCCTCATCAAGTTTTAATCAACCTCTGATCATTCTAACTAAAAAAAGCCTCAGCTTATATTTTTTTTAAGTAAAAATCAGGTCCTTTTAAAGAACATGTGCTCTAAAAAGATTAAAATTTTATATTTTTACATTAAACAATGGATTTTAATCTTCAGTTAGTAATTTATACTTCCTTTAACACAACGGTGGAATTGGCCCTTACACAACTCAAAGTCTTTGCTAATTCTGTTCAAAATACCGTACGTTTACCGTACTATTTATGTAAATACCGTACTTTTATGTACGGTAATGACTTTGGACTGTATACCGTACATTGATCGAAATTATCGTACAAATACGGTAATTACCGTACGATTGGCAACCCTGGCTCCCAGACTTTGAAAATAGCCCCCCTCACAAAGCACATAGAGGTTCCACGTGAATGACCAAGGTCAAAACCGACAACTGACATTTTTTATGCTATTTGCTCCAAACTCTAGATGGGGCTACTGGTGAAATTATGATTTCTTACTCCATTTTTAAGCCTTATGGGAGAAAAACTTAACCAAAGACTCCAAAGATGTGACGTGTATTTATTTATGTTCTTGGTTAGTTTCATTTTTCCGTCTGATTTTAGTGATTTTTTGTTGGCTTTGGCTTTTGGTTTCTGTTTATAGTTTCGTCTTAGTTATTTGCAAAATTGTGATGTTTCGCTTTTTTATTTCCTACTGTGTTTTGCAATAATTTTGGTGCTACGTTGAAAACTTCGAGAAAAACTTCATTGATTCACCATATATTCACCATGCATCTGCATCATAAAAAGACAAACGGGGACAACAACTAATTGATAATCAATTTATCCCTGGACTAGATTCCGAAATCATTTTTCACATAAGAGAGTAATACCACCATCTGTATTTGGAAGGAAAATACCTATTTATCATTGAATGAATAGTTAAAAGGATTCACCTTTTAATACAATACCTATATTACATTTGTCCTCAGTTAAAAAGACATTTATAAAATATATAACTTTAGTGTTAATAAAATGTAATATCCTAGTCTCTACTTCACATTTAAATTATTGATAGGTACCTATTTTAAAGATTTGAGATTATATATCTATTTGCTCCAAGTAAGTATTCGTTAAATATGTATTATTATTTGTATTTATTTTTATCTAATAATATTTATTTAAGTTATTAATAAACATATTTTAAGAATGTTCTATTTTATTATTTATTGATATATCTTATATTTATTTAATAAAAATATGCAGAACCAACTCTCCACATTAGACCCCTTATAACAAATTAATTCTTCAAATTTGGTATAATCGACCTAAATTATTTTGTAAAATAAAAGTTTCGAACTTACTAGTTCCATACTTTATTTTATAAAATAATTTATGTGGAAATCATTTAAAACTACTACCTACTCCTAAAAATTACAATTTGAATTTACCGCCATCTGTCAATTGTCATTTTAGTTCCAGCTCCAAACACAAGGTGGCGCTAATTTGGTTTAAAAGTTTAACATTGGCGTGGGGTCTCTAGAAGATACATGCTTTGTGGCCCCCCTGGTGTATATAAGGTGAGTTCGGGCTGCGCACTCAAGAGTGGAGTAAGTAGGCGTAAACGGAGTGCGCATATGGTTTTACTCCATTGAGATCAATGTTTTACTCCTTTTACTCTCAGATTCAATGTCAGTTGTCAATGTGACATACTATCACATACTTTGATTTTCTTTACTATACGGCGCAAGAGAGAGGTCCGACACGCCCAACATAGAGCGCGGCCATTTTGAACCCTATGCAACAGTTTATAGATAAAGAATCAGATCGCTCACTCTGCGGCGACACTTTTGATCTCAATGTTCCAGTTTATACACTGCGCCACTCGAATAATACAATTATGACAACCGCCTATAATAAAACAGCAGTCTTCTGAGTATCCTGAATTTGTATCCCTGGAGTGGATGTTATTTTGAAACTTTCAACTGGTCCGAGTGAGCTAACTGATTCTTTAGCAATAAACTGTGACTCCAAAAATAATATTCATTGACACTGACAGCAGCAAGCAAAATATCAGGTGCGTTTTAATCATCCGCTTCTGCTTTCGGAATTGTCGGTTCAGTCGTTCTAACCTGTCAGATTAAAAAAAGAAAACCGACAATTCCGAAGCAGTCTCTTTATGTGACCCGATTTCTTATGTCATTAGTGTCAATTTTATTTTGTCAAGTTGGTTGCCCTTCCCTTGTATTAGGCATTCCAACGACCTGTCAAACAATAGGTGCCAGTGGGAAATTCTTGTATATTTAGAGGGGTAGCGACATAGTCTTGCAACTTGGACGCTATTTTTATTCGAAGTAGTACTCGCCAAGCCTGCCAATTTATGAAGAAATGTTTAGGTGGGTTTTTAAATATTATTTTTATTGTGTTTGACATAAAATATTTAAATGTAATCCATTATTCATGATTTTACGTAAAGTAGATAGAATACACCATATGTCGCCACCCTTAGATATACCAAACCTGCCCACTGGTAATTCATTTGTTTGGAATGCCTAATAGAAGTCCTCTATTCATGGGATATGTTTGTTCATATGATGCACAGAACACTCACTTTCTGTGATGGTTTATGGTTGACGGCAAGTCACAGAATAACTACTATATGGCAAGTACCGTGCACCTTAGCATCGGTAAGGGGGAAGAAAGATTCTGACTTACAATCATAAAAAGAACATACATCTCAGCTTAGTCGATGTAAGTTAGCTCAGATTATTTGTAAAAAGAAAACGACTATTATTTGCTGCGTTTGAGAATCCACATCGGATGCATCTGAGATGTAAAAAATCTTTGATCACGTGATTCAGTATACGTAAATGTAATGGGACAGATGTGTCCGATGTGGATAAAAAAACGCTCGAGATGTAAAAAAATGCATCCGATGTGGATTCTCAAACGCAGCATTTATAATATATGTTGCTACTGTTCCAGAAAATTTTCATCTGGCAACATTGCCCTAAACTGTCAGTTCTCACTTGTCAGCATTTTGACAGTTGATTAGGTATAAAAAGGAGGTTATGCCTAAGTTTATGCGTCAATAGAAATAATAGAAATTTATATCATAAAATAAAATAAAATATTACTTACCGGTATAATGGGCAAAGTGGGCAGTGTGGGCAGTGTGGGCAGGGTGGGCAGGGTGGGCAGAGGGGGCAGAGGCGGCAGAGGGGACAGAGTGGTCAAATGGTACAGAAGAATAAAGTGAGAAGAAACATTTTGTACAATTTTATTTTTTAAAACAATGATTTTTTTTTAGAGATCCACAACCTGCTATAATACTTCCCGATGCACCTATAATTGTAACTAAAAAGAGAAGAAAAAGTAAAATGTTTAGAAAGAAAGTAGCAATGGATTGTCAAGGTTCTATATTCTATCACAAATTTGATGTAAGTATTACATTTGTATCAAATTTATACCGGCAGAATAAATCTTCAAGCATTTACCCCTGCACTTGGGACAGCACAGGAAATATTTCATCAAGATCATATTTTAAAATAATTCCTAACAATTGAGTGTCCAAATCTACTATCTGAACTTAACTTTTATGTTCCAAGAATAACATTGAGAAATCATTAAATTTATATGGGTATTTTGCAAACCAATGTTTTAAAAAATTCACCAACACAGAACATAATTCAATCATATAGGTATTAGATCCGCTAGATAGGTACCTATCTTTTGATAATTGAGATCTGTACCCACAAAGTATCTGTACTAATAATATTTTAATGTTGTGGTAGTGAACTCCCTTGTTTTATTTTGGTATTTTATTTATTCTAATATGGCACTTTATTCAATAAAATTACAAATAAATTATTAATCAAAAGCAACAAATATTTAAAATAAATTATAAAAATTTAACAACTTTTCTTTTTCTTTAGTTAAGATATTCGATTCATTGTGTGGTCAGCCTATGTGATTTGACTAAATAAGGGTTAATTTTTTTCAACAAAAAGTGAAGTGAGAAAATCGATTTATATACAAAAAACTAAAATGCAATTTTGAAAATCTGAAAACATATAATTCCCAATTCTTCCTATATCCCAAAAGTGAAAACAAATCACACCCCCATATCCCTAAAGTGAAAATAATTTGTTGAGGAAATGCTGTGATGCGTTGTCTGTTCCCCTTAGTCAAATTTTCCAGAAATCCTTTTTTCAGGGTATTTTTCCAGATATATGGAAATTTTCCAGTCTAATTCCAATTCTGAAGTCAGGTGATAAATCTAATATAAAAAACTATAGAGGTATATCTATTATATCCACAATTCCCAAATTATTTGAATCCCTTCTTACTGATGAAATAGCTGCTTCCTTCAAATCTTATATCTCCCCCTTTCAGCATCGTTTTTATCAGGGGCGTTCTACCGCTACTAAACTTTGTTGTGGAAGCTGGGCACCAGGTGGATGCAATTTACACTGATCTGTCAAAGGCCTTTGATAGTGTTTCTCATCAACTGCTTTAAAAAAACTCTACGAAATAGGTATTGCTGGTAACTATCTCAATTGGATAAAATCATACCTAACTAATCGCTCCCAACAAGTTTCTATTCATAATTTTACATCACGGAAAGTATCAGTTTCATCAGGCGTTCCGCAAGGCTCACACCTTGGTCCTGTCCTGTTCTCTTTTTTTATTAACGATGTAACTTCCTGCTTTTTAAATAGTACTTGTCTTCTATATGCAGATGACTTGAAATTTTTCAGCACAGTTACACATAATACTACTGCCCTTCAAGGTGATCTAGAGAGACTAAACGAGTGGTGCAAGGTGAATCATCTCTCATTAAATACCAGTAAATGCAAGACCATCCAGTTCACTAGAGCGTTAAACCATTCTCTAAATCAATACAAAATCGGCAATACTGAACTGCAAAATGTCACATCTGTGAATGATCTAGGGGTGATATTTGATATGGAACTGTCCTTTCGAGAACATTGATTCCATTATCTGTAAAGCTTTCCGGATGCTAGGCTTTATTAAAAGAAATACTCAACATATGTATGATACTAAAGCAATCAACATTATTTAACAGCCTTGTTAGAAGCATTCTTGAATATTGCTCTGTTGTATGGCATCCTAATTACACCTGCAACATAGAGAGGATAGAACGAGTTCAGCGTAAATTCACTAACTATTTGCTGTTTAAACACCACTTTCCCTACCAAAACGTTGGTTACGAAAGTAGACTGCTTTTATGTGGTATGCAAAGCCTAGAAATCAGAAGACATGCACTAGTTCTGTTTCTGTTTAAATTAATTAACGGTAAGATTGACTGTAGCGCCCTTTTACACTTAATTAGCTTTTTGGCACCTACTCGACGTACACGTCATACTTTATTGTTTTTTATTGTCATCAGAAGACATAGAACCAACTATGGACAAAGAGCATTTATTGACCGTATGTGCCACATTTACAATAAGCTTTACTCCGACTGTGACCTATTTAACACAACGTTGTATGCGCTACAGAGTAATTTGAAACTGTCAAAATATTTTTTTTTTTTTATTTTTTTTTTTTTTAAGCTTTAATATTTAAACCACTGATCTGTATTATTTTACTGGATAGGATATAGCCCCCTAAAAAACGTTCCGAAAGATTGGCCGATTTGGGCAAATAATATGGCGGACCGGATGTTATTTAACATAACCTCTATTTCCATTTGTCATTTAATTGTGTCAACAAGCTACGATGAGATATTTTTATTGTGGAAAACAAAGTAAAAAGAGTATGAAATAAACAATAAACGTTCATTCCTGAATACACAATATGCTTCACGTTTCCATTTTTATATTTTCTCTCATAAAAAATCAAATCATGAGTGAATTTTCCCGAAGGACATTGCCCGCAAAAGGAATAGAAGAAGAATAAGAAGAAAAACTAATCAAATTATAGATTAGGTATGTCAAATTATCCCAAATTTCAGTTCTGTGAACCCACCATAATTTGCCCAAATCGGCCAGCACACGGGGGTTTACATCATATGCACAATACGTAAACACGTTTCTGCGCATACTCCTCCGCGCTTGGGTGCTCTGAAGTCCGTTTTACAATAGCAAAATTGTATTAAAATGTAAAGCACATTGATTAATTTAATAACATCTCGTTCAGTAACACACAAAAAGTGTTGTTTCAAAAATTTTAATTCATATATACAAACTAAAAAAAACATACCTTCACTTAGTTATTTGTACTATGTGAAGATGGCTTTCTGTCCGCTGCATGACTGCTGGCTGCCCGCTATAGCGGGCCCCGCGCGCGCTGTCAACAAATAACATCAAAAAGGTATTTTTCGCGGCATAAACCAACATGAACGTTTATGTTATTTAGACCAATCAGACATGTCTAAATAACATAATCTATCATAAACGTTTATGTTGGTTTATGCCGCGAAAAATACCTTAAAATCCCGGTGATCAAAATCAAACAAATGTGTGGTTATGTTATGATTTGGTTGTCGACAAAAACATGTGAGTGGAACTACTTTTATTTTTTTAGATATAAGTTATTTAGGATTATTTAAAATCAAGTAAAGGTATTTTGATGCTTTAACATGTCTTTACCAGGCAGAATTCATTATAAACGCATAATTTCTAATTGTTATAGTACATTTTATAAGGCCCATTCCAAACGTAAATTTTAAGAACAAACATTTTTAAATTTCCTTCTGATATTGATCAAAGAACGGAATGGTGTCGTATTTTAAACATTCCACTTACAACCCCAATCATTATACATTATGTGAAAATCATATTTTGATACAAAATTGTTTACAAAGACTGCTAAAAGATTTGCTTTAGCATCCTCAAAACCAGATACACCAAAGATAGTAGTACTTAGTAATATTGTTATCACACCTCCAAACAGAGTTCTGTGAGGATAAAGTTCATTCTAATAATATATACAAAATTAATAAATTAAGCAGAATTTGAGTCTAGCCACTAGTTATGTTGCAGGGTTTATTAAGAAACTTAATAGTTTTGACTGCAAAGAGTGTAAAGTTAAATTACTGACATGTTAGAAGACCATCGATACTTTTACTTATTTTAAAGAAAATTATGATAAGACGTTTTATTTATGTACAAAGAAATGTTATTGAATTTCTTTCAAAAATTCTTGAAATAGTTTCACAACTTTTGGGTCATATTGACAACATAATTCAAAAAATTAAACTTTTTTGCCAGACCATGTTGATTTTAAATGGTTTACATCAGAGGCGATTCGTGGCCTAGTCTATGAGGAGACTACTTTTAAAAGGCACACCCTATATACTTAATAAAAATATATGTCTATAAGAATTCAAAAAGCAGAAATATTACATTGTATTCTAATAGAAATATATATTTGTATAAAGTATATAGGATGAGCCAGCTTCCTCACAGACTAGGCCACAAGCCGTCTCTGGCTTACATATAAAGAACATAAAACAGACGTCTTTTCTCATTTAGTTGAAACTTGTCTACTATTAATAATAAGAAAGTATTATAATGATAGTATGAGGGCTGCTGCAATGTCTAAAAGATAAACAAAATTATTTGAAGTTACTGCATTTAATTTTTTTTCTGTTTCAGTTTATATGGATGGTTGCTTTTGTCTGATTTTCTAAGATTCAAGAAGAATTTGTTGTTTTGTTTTTTGTTTATTTTAAAAATTTATTTACTTAGGCATTAGTTTTCATATCAAGTAAATTAATTATTTGTTATGCAATTTCTGATTTTTGTTAGCCAAAGATAGTTAACGTACCGAAATAGTAATGTAATGTTTGTGATATTAAGAGTAACTTTCTTAAAGAATCATTTATAAGACGTCCGGGAGCGCCATAGTAAATAATAATAATAGACATTGTTGCTTCGCATAAGCTCGCTTGTATGGGGGAGAAGTGCATGAAAAATATTTTTTTTATTGCCATCTCTTTGATACATTTTTTATTTATTTTTCTTGGGAATTTTTAGTAAATATAATTATATAAAACTTTGTATGATATTTATTTTATCATTCATAATTATTTGTCATAGAATTTTACATTTTTATTGGGCATTTCATAATTGTTACAAACAGCTAATAAAAAAGGAAAATTTTAATTATAATTAAGAGGAAAATTTACTTAAGCAATTATCTTTTTCTAAATATAAAATTACGGGTAACTGCATTACCGACAGAGTAAGAGTTGATGGTAATACTGCTGGTAACTACATTCCCGACAGAGTAAGATTAGTTCTACTCCTCCACCCCACAGGTCGTTGCAAGCAAACATGTTGCCAAATTTCTACAAAGAAATGGCAACTCTTAATAATCCTTCCTCCATGGGCCAGCATTGTTGCACTTCCGGTCTCCTTGGTGGAACAGTTTTTTAGTATGTTAAATATAGCCTATATCCTATCCAGTA